CTGTCCCCTCTCAGCAACCCTCCACTATTTTAAATGGCTTTTTTGTGTTTGCAAACGCCTTGGATAAACCGCAAAGTTCTCTGCTTCCTCTTCTTTGTCAGGCTGCAGCCCTCAGGCCCTCAGGCCACCCGGTGCGCTGCCGGCACCCGCGCTGCGAGGCCTCGGGGCGCTTCTCAGGCTAATCCAGACTAGCTCTCACCAACTCAGCACGCTCACCCACAATTCCAACTAACTTTCCTTTTATTACGCAAACACCACTGGGGCTGCTTGATTCCCCCCCCTCCCTCACCCGGCTCGCCGCCCCCCAGCCTCTTTCCAGCCTAGCTGGCTTTCTGGCTAGGCAAGTTAGGAATCCAGCTAAGGAGGGACCCCCCGAGGGGCGCGGGAGGGAAAACACCCGACTAAACCTCCCCAGTTTAGTTCCTCGCCTGAAAAACCCCAAGTTTGCCGGGTGAAATGCTCTCGGGTTTGTAGTTCTGGGTTCCCACTCTCTTCTCCGGAACGTGGCTTCTAGTGATGCGGACTGCGTAGCCCTCATCTCCCACCCCACCTCACGCCCTCCGGGTGACGATGCCCTGGGTACCTGCCTCCCGCCCCCGCTCGCCTACCTGGCTGGCTGCTGGCACTCGGGACGCGGTTGTAGGCGCCGCCGTACTGGTGGTAGGGGCTGGCGTAGCTGTAGTCGGCGTAAGCCTTGGCCGGGTAGCCGGCTGCGGAGCCGTTCACGCCGTGGTACTGGTACTGGTAGGGGTTGAGCGCTTTGCCGTAGGAAGCAGAGGTAGGAGAGCAGTAGCCGTGCGGGGCGGCCCCCGCGGGACTGTAGTAGTCAGAATCGGTGGCCGAGGACTCGGGCAAAGTTGGCGATTCCTGAGACGGATGGTGCATGGCGGCAGACGTCGGGAACGGAGCTTGGAAGTCGCCGGATCGGATGCTGGGAACTCTTCTGTCAAACACTCCTGTCATAGCTCCCGGGCGGTGGCTGTCCTTCGGCTGCGGCGGGCGCGGCTGCCTGAATCGGCTGTGGAGCTGCTCTGGTCTAAGCAGACATGGCTGTGGGAGCGAGGGAGGAGGAGGAGGAGGAAGAGGAGGAGGCGGCGGCAGGGAGGAGGAGGAGGAGGAGGCTGGGAGTCGTGGAGGCTCTGTCTCCCGCAGGCTGACTGCTGGCTGAGGCGCAGCACAGCCTTGGTTAAATCCTTAATTGCGCGCTTACGCACAGCGGGGTGGATCGGGTTCCATTGGCCAGGGCCTCGGGAGCAGAGCAACACCCTAACTCGTCCAACTAGTTTTAGCACAACAAAGCATTGCTTAAAAAAAAAAAAGAGAGAGAGAGAAGGGGGTGGTGGTACAGGGATTTTGTGTGTGTGTGTGTGTGTGTGTGTGTGTGTGTGTGTGAGAGAGAGAGAGAGAGAGAGAGAGAGAGAGAGAGAGAGAGAGAGAGAGAGGAACTATACACGTTGTTGCCTGTTGGGGGAGGGAGGGTCTCAGTCGATCTGTTTTTAGTGAATAGCACAGACAACCCAAGAAGCCCCAGGACCCAGCTCTGTGCTTTTTAAAATAGACAATGTGTTCCAACAGTAGTTTCCAAAGAATACGTTTAGATGCTGAGGTCCATGATGCTCTTTTCTTGCTCCACCCTACCTGTCCTCTCCTGCTCCACCAAAGGAGACTGTCCAACTGAACACTGATATGGGAGTGGGCGCCAAGCAGAAAGAGGAGTGTTAGATGAAGGTGGGAATAAATGGAGAACAGTATTGTTTTAGCGGGATGTTGGGAAGCAAGTTGTAGCTAAATTGTGTTGAAATTTTCTAAATTGGAAAACAGATTGGTATGTAACAAGCACTTCTGCAGAAGACTATTCCTCAGGACTCCGTAGAGACGTTCAAGACTGCATGTGTCCATTTAGCTGTCCGTGGTAGAGCGCCTGCCACTGAAGTCTTCCCAAGGACTTAAAAACCAATATCTTATTCCTGAATAGCTGGACATTGCCTAACCTCTCCTAGCTTGCTTTCCAGAAGAGCTGAGCAGCCCTATTTTTGTTCAATATCCTCATCTGCTTGGATGCTTTTAAATCTGTGTCTCAGTTCAGTAGCCAGATTACTCAAAGAGTGAATTGATTCAGGTATATGACCTATAGTGTCTCCAGACCAAATGGGAATGTGAAGACCAGAAAGCAGACAAAGTCCTCTTCTGAGGTGGGATTATGTCCACTGATGACCCTCAACGGTTCCATTGTCTATGCACACTCCATGTCCCTTTCATTTCCCTTTATTACTTGATTACTTGCCTAGTGAACATCTTAATATAAATATATATATATATATATATATATATATATATATATA